AAATATGTCCAAAAAGTTCGGGTAAGACCCAGGGAAGGGTTTTAGTCTATAAACTTTTTAACATTTACATTCACTTGTCTAGATTAACAGGACACAAGTTCTTGAAAAAAATGTACTTTGATTGTTTGTAGAAGCCTGTCTCAGAGTGGATGCACAAGGCTCTAGAGGTGGAGCTGACAGACTGGCAGAGGGATCAGGAACCAGATATTGACCATGAAGGCTGCTATCACACCAGCCTTCCAACCATCATTGCTCAGGTAATAAAGCAATGACTTAATCTACAATAAGCAAAATTTTGGCACTGATATACATATGAACTACTCTGGTGTCTGTGTTGTTAGATGCTAGAAGAAAATGCACGGGTGGCTTTGATGATAAGTGAAGCTCTGCGGGACCAGACAATCCAAATGGGTCTTTATGAGATGGAAAACCTCCTCAGCCGGTGTGTATGTTTAGCAATACCAGGATATCATAACTCTTATTGATTATATACAATATTTTGTACTTTCCTCTCATTACATCTAAACAGATTTCGAGATGCAATCATAGAATTTGGGAAGGAGCATCGCAGGGATTCAACCATAAACAGTAACAAGTTCTACCTCCATTATCTCCTGGCCTGCATCAACAACTGCATCATCCTCAAGTGAGATGGTGTACACGTATCTTTTTACAGTATGTCTGTATTTATGTGATGTTTGTTTGAAAATGTGTGTGTTTTAAATAGTTTTGTGTGCATTGGAGGTGCTTGTAAGCAGTAAGATTAAATCTCAGATTTAAATGCACATCTAGAACCTCCACAGAAAGCCTGCAGCAGCAGTTGTGCTCCTTCCCTTCAAACCGGTATTCTCGCATTTCACTTGGACCTCTGGCTGCCCTGGACCATGCTGTGAGAAAGGCATGCCGCTTAGTCATGGACCATCTCTTGTTTGAGTTGCAGCCTCATCTGCAGGAGCTCCTGTCTCGTACCTGGCTGGACCAGGGAGAAGTAACCCCAAATATGTGTGAGGTTTTAGAACGTCACTGTGAACTTTACAACAGGGTGCGGCATCCTTGTCGCCAGGTTAGTGTTTACATCAGGCATCAGAAATGACATAGACCACACAGTAAAATGAGTGAATATCTTTACCAACAAATGACACCCAAATACCCTTTGCGTCATGTGATCTCCATCATCTACAGAGGCTAAAGGAGGAATGTCAATGGCTAACTGTTGTTGAGTATGTCCATACACTGATGCAGAAGAGAGTGGTCTGCAGAAATAATGATGAGCGAAACCAATTTGCCCAGCGAATGAAACAGGATGCTCAGCAGCTGAAGGACCACCTTCAAAGCATGGTGAAAGCATATTTACATACATTTTTGGGGGGAGTCTCCCGTCAAGTACACCCAGATGCACAGATTCAGCTTTGACTGAAACATAAATGCTTAAAATTAGTTAAATTAAAATTAAAACATAAACGACTAACCTAATTATTCATTCATTGCAAACCTGAAGCAAAGCTATTCATGAGAAACTGACTTGAACTTGAACAAAACCGGCAATTTATTGGATCTTATCAGGCTTGCAGGTAGCAGACCTCTAGGAATAACACAAGAACAAGTCTGTATACGTTTGTGGAAATGAAATTACTTTAAGTATTTCACTCATGTAATGCCATTTTTACATTTAAAGGAAATCTATGGGACCATAGGTGAGGTGAATACCACAGCTTTGATACTTGCACTGGCTGACATAATCAATTTGAAAGACCCAAACATGCTAATACTGGAGATTTCCGGATTCGTAACCAAGTACCCTGATATAAGGTGAGATTTCAAACCAAGCATACCCAGCATATCTAAATATTCTAAATTCATTTCTAATACATTGATTAATCTATGGCAAGAGACTTACAAAGTGTGTCTTTTCAGTGAGGAGCATGTCTCTGTCCTGTTGGATGTAAGAGGGGATGTACCCAAAGACGTGCGGAAGTCAGTACTAGATTTTCTGGAACAGAGTGCCCCACCTTTACCACAAGGATACCGCCCTATATTCACAGAAATCCTTGTGCCCTCTTCCAGCATACAATTTTGTCTGCCTACTGCAAAATGTACTTGAGAAGCACTCAGAGAAATAACCCTACTGAATTGGATCCGGCCTAGTAAACAGGAAATTAATTATTAATTCATCATTATTCAGTAAGACTCGCCTATTCGTTATCTGCTCTGTCTTGTCTGAAATTATACTGTGTCCAAATAATATTTACATTTATGATCTCACCAAATGCTTTCTTACAAATCAAAGTGCACAAACAAAATGTACATACAATAAATTAAAAAAATCTTGTTAGTTCTCCAGCATGTATGGTAGAAAAAAGAGAAAGCAGTGCACATTCTGGTTCACTGTGTTTTTAAATATTTGGGGGTGATAATTTTAAATGTAAATTTATAAAAAAGTTAACGCTACCATAGCATTCTCAAAGATATTCAGTCAATTGCTTGAAAACTTGTATATTGTGGTTCACTATGTATATTGTGGTTGACTATTAGTCAATAAAGTAATGCATTTTAAGAAAAAAAAATATATAAAACTGATTAATCAATTCATAAAAATTCATAAATTCAAGGGTATTACACTAACAATCAACAATGTAAATACAATGGTACATGAATATAACATACCATTGTACATCTACACTGGACCATGACACATTATTTTGACATATTATTTCAGCCATAGTAGTTTTTTGTTAGGGTAATATTGGACCTGTGGATCTGTACATGAAATGAAACAGGCTACAAAAATGAGGAATAATAATAATTTAAAAAAAATTATATATCAAGGAATTATTTTCAGTGTTTGATGTTTAGAGGTATTCATCAATTTGGATGCACTCAATCAATGGGCCAACAACACCATCAGCTAAAATAATGAGTCAAATATTCAGGCTTTTATACAGGTGGAAAAAAATACCATGAAAATTAATATTCAAACAACTGATTTACAATTTATAAAGAACAACTATGATATGTTTTTACAATCTTTTCACAAATCCACGAGGAAGGAACCAGACACTATAAGTGAGAGCTAAATTATGTTCAACAACACAAAATATTGCCCCTACATTCAAAAGTGGCCCAACATTTCAAAAACAAGGACAAGTCAAGCACTTACCTTGAATTAACATCCTAACTTTGACTTGTTTGTGATCTGTTTCTGTGTTATTAACACAACGCATAACACACAAATGTATTGGCAAAGGCTGAAGGGAAGCGACCTTCAGTGGTCACGTGATCTTAGGGGCGTGACTTCACGAAAAAAACATGGCTGCGCCCGGAGAGATCATGTTGGATTAATCTACTATTTGTGAACGATCTAGGAATTATAATACAAAATACATTCATAAATAATTTTGTTTACTTATAACTGAAGTGACAATGAAGACATTTTGCGGTCGTGCAAATCCAACAACCGGAGCGCTGGATTGGGTTGAGGAAAGCGAGGAGTATGATTACCATCAGGAGATTGCGAGGTGTGTAAACCATCTCATGTAACATCACCATGCGTCGACAACAACTGATCTTTGCCTGGTTCTGTAGGAGTCATCAATGATATTGTTTTCAAAAATTAAACTTATCAAATGACGCGGTGAAAATACTTGACAGTGACTTGTTGTTAATGTTGTTCTTACACGTGGAAACTGTGTTGTGGTAACAGTGCTAGATTATCAGTTACACTTAATCGAATTGTAGTCATGTGATATCCTGTCATGGGACGGGGTAAATTATCTGGGCATATCCTGATGATAATAGTTGGTGTGTCTTTCCCAGGTCCTGCTATGCAGATATGCTCCATGATAAAGACAGAGTGAGTATTGTTGCTGGACACATTCATACACGACATAGCATAGAAATGCTGGAAACCAAAATAATGGTTCTAAAACAAGTCTATCTCCTATGATGAAAGGCAATTTGCAAAATAAGTTATTTTAAGTTTCATGTAAAAAAGAAAATCGGAATGAATAAATGATGATAGAATGTTTAATTCTTGGGTGAACTATCCCTTTAAGATTAGTTGTCAAATTAGTTTTCCAAAGCATATGGACTGAAAATCACCTAGTTTTAAACACAGAGTAGCTGATATGTTGCTAATCTTTGATCTTTATGCTTTGTGTAATAAAGAATGAGAAATACTACCAGGGCATTCGAGCAGCGGTGAGCAGAGTAAAGGCACGCGGTGAACGGGTGGTGGTCCTGGACATCGGCACTGGGACGGGTTTGCTCTCCATGATGGCTGTGACGGCTGGAGCCGATTATTGCTATGCTATAGAGGTGCTCACTAATGCTCATGTATTGAATTTTGAGTAATAAGAAATTTGAATGAAGACAAATATATGAATCCCATACAGGTGTTTAAACCCATGGCAACGGCTGCCACTTGCATCGTGGAGAGGAACGGCTTCTCAGATAAAATCAAGGTCATCAACAAACACTCCACAGAGGTTACAGTTGGACCAGGTTAGACAACCACCAATATGCTTATTATACAGGTAGATCAGATGGGTTCAATGCATTGCTTTCATATAGTAGTAACTATACAACTGATAATTACAGTCCTGAATGTTGATTGGTCAGTACATCTTTCCAGCCATTTTAAAATATATGATAATATATTGTATAACTACCTACTGTGTCTATCACTGTGCGGCAACCATAGTCAATATTATAAATTATATTTTTTTATGAAATGTTTGAATATTATAAAATAGTAAAATTATATACATATAGTCTAAAGATTTATAATATACTTTTTATTTTAATAGTTTGTATATTAAATAATATGACATTTTATAGACAATATATTAATAAACTATATGTATGTGTATATATATTAATTATATATGTGTATTTATATATATATATATATATATATATATATATATATACATATCATAATATTTTAATTTGTTAGGTTTTATATTTAAAAACATTATACATATTTTAATTAAATTAATGATAATTAAAAATATTCAAATTATATACATATAATTTTAATATTTTACAATTCCATTTTATTTCATGTTATATATTAATAATAATAAATAATATTATTATACATATTTAATTATATACATATTATATATGTGTGAAGTTATAAAAAAGATAAGTGGATAGATAGATAGACAAAATCAACTTGAATTTGTGCCATATTGTAAATATTGTAATGAACACCATCAACTGTATCACCTTGCATTGCATTCTTGCAAATATAAATGTATTTGTATCTGTAGATGGAGACATGCAAGAACGAGCTAACATCCTTGTCACGGAGCTGTTTGACACAGAGCTGATCGGTGAAGGAGCATTGCCCAGCTATGAACATGCACACATGCACCTCGTCCAGGTACGTACAGTTGTAAATTGCCTGTGCGGCAACCATAGTCAATATTATAAATTATATTTTTTTATGAAATGTTTGAATATTATAAAATAGTAAAATTATATACATATAGTCTAAAGATTTATAATATACTTTTTATTTTAATAGTTTGTATATTAAATAATATGACATTTTATAGACAATATATTAATAAACTATATGTATGTGTATATATATTAATTATATATGTGTATTTATATATATATATATATATATATATATATATATATACATATCATAATATTTTAATTTGTTAGGTTTTATATTTAAAAACATTATACATATTTTAATTAAATTAATGATAATTAAAAATATTCAAATTATATACATATAATTTTAATATTTTACAATTCCATTTTATTTCATGTTATATATTAATAATAATAAATAATATTATTATACATATTTAATTATATACATATTATATATGTGTGAAGTTATAAAAAAGATAAGTGGATAGATAGATAGACAAAATCAACTTGAATTTGTGCCATATTGTAAATATTGTAATGAACACCATCAACTGTATCACCTTGCATTGCATTCTTGCAAATATAAATGTATTTGTATCTGTAGATGGAGACATGCAAGAACGAGCTAACATCCTTGTCACGGAGCTGTTTGACACAGAGCTGATCGGTGAAGGAGCATTGCCCAGCTATGAACATGCACACATGCACCTCGTCCAGGTACGTACAGTTGTAAATTGCAGTTTAACTTTTTGCTGCATCTTTTAAGTGTTTAATGGAGTTGCTCTCACTGGCACAGGCAGATTGTGAAGCTGTGCCACATCGTGCCACGGTCTATGCCCAGCTGGTGGAGTCAGATATGCTGTGGAAATGGTCACAGCTCCAACCCATAGAGGTGGATGGGAACAAACTGCTGCCCCCTCCTGCTGTGGTGAAGTGTGCAGGAGCGCCCTCTGTCTGTGATATCCAGCTTAGCCAGGTGCCACCAGAGTCTTTCACTCCCCTCGGGCCCATCTGCACCATGTTCAGGTACAAGTCTGGATGTAATTTAGCTGTCTGGATTAAAATGGGGTCATTTTTTTTTCTGTGTAACTCATCTATTCTTCCACTCTAGGGTGGATTTCAGCAAACAGGTTAGCAGCGCTGCTCAGTCCTACACGGCACAGTTCAAAGCACAGACCAGCGGGAGAGCACAGGTGGTCTTATCCTGGTGGGACATCGACATGGACCCTGATGGCAGCATTGTGTGCACTATGACCCCCAGTTGGAACTACTCAGATCCTCATACTTACCCTGTATGTACTGGTGCTTAGCCACTAATATTTGTGAATGAATATCAAAAATATGTCCAAGTAATCTTTCACCCCAAAATAATTCAAAGTAAAAAATGAAGAAATTATATTTTGCATAGAAAAGAAGCTTATATTTAGTCCCATTATTTACATTATTTTCATGAAAATTAAAGCACACCACCCAAATCTATAAATGTTAATTTTGTATTTGAATTGTTTTGAATATTGTTTGTAAATCTCATTATTGTCATTAATAATTCTTATGAGATCTTTTACTGTAATACACAAAATTAGGTTTTCCCTGCATATATAATGACAAGAATATTGATTTATAAATACTTTTCATTAATATTGCAATGCATTTATTTTCATTATAGTATTAAAACATATTTTTGTAAATGAAAAAATATATTTTTAGCAATACAAAGAGTTAATGAATATTAATGTTCTTTCTTGACTTTAGTTTTTTAATTGTGTCACAATGCAAAATAAAATCAAATTAAATAATGTTCCTAAAAAGGGTTTAATTTTATTCAATATAATGATTTAAAAAAATGAAAATATTAGTGAACAATAATATAAACATTTTGGGCTGAATGTCTTTGCAAGAGGTTCCTCTAATACGAACCCTTAATGAAAATAAACTTTCTTTGGTCTGATATATAAATATGTTTGATTATTTTTCATCATGTGATGTGCAGTGGAGGGATCACTGGATGCAGAGTGTCTACTTCCTGCCTGCAGAGAAGAATGTGTCAGAAGGAGAAGAGCTGAATTTAATCGGCTCCCATGATGACTACAGTCTCTGGTACGGCCTTACGCACAGGTAAGGTGATTTTGAGCAGTGTTTAGGCATGATAACAAGTTCTAAACTTTAACCAAGACAGAACTTAAAGAGTCTCTGAGGAAGACAATATTATATTTTTGACAATCTGTCTTATAGTGTACAAAATGATGTCAAAGTGGCAACGTTTCGGCCATGCTGCACCTGTCAGGCCCACCTGGTCTGGACGAGGCCTCGCTTCGGGGAACTGAATGACGAACAGAGGACTGAGAGTTATGTGAACGCATTACGCAGTGTAAGTTAACTGTTGATTTACATGTGAGCTTGAAGCGCTGCATTCTGTTGACTGGCAATGGCTCAAAATTGAGTGCGTTTCATGTCTGCTTGCAGATTCTGAAACCAGACAGTGTGTGTTTGTCTGTCAGTGATGGGAGCCTGTTACCCATTTTTGCTCATCTACTTGGGTCTAAAAAGGTGAGAAGGCCTTTTTTTTTCAGAGTCAGAAGGTTCACAAATTAGCGAGCTCCGTTCTCCCTACACAGACAGCTGCCTTCTGAGGCAGCATCCTAAGCTTCATGGAAAGTTTTAAGTAAATTATATGCAACTCTATGCACTCGATTTCAGTAGCGTTTAATGTTAGCATGTTTAAATGAAAATAAACTATTTTTAGCAAGTAAGTCATAAATTTAAATAAATTATAAGCAGCCTGTGTACTACACTACTTAAAATTGCAATATTGGGCAAATAATCTGTTTTGAGTTAAACTGAACTATTTATATCAATACTTTTAAGTATTGAATGAATAACTGACATTTTTCTTGCCTTATCTGTTGTCTTTGATTAATTTTTTTCTGTGAAGGATAAATGCTGCGTTCCCTTAAAATTTATCCAAAATAAGGTATCCTAGGAGGCAATACAATTAATAAAAAAAACTGTCTAGGTAGGCAGCTCACTAGGTTTTGGAACAGAACATACTGTATATGAATCTTTCTTTCTGTCTCTTTCTGTCTTTTCAGGTGTTCAGTTTGGAAAGCTCTGGAATGGCGAAACAAGTGATCGAGCAGGTGAGATTTTGAATCTAAAAATAATTACCTACATGAGTTCAGACAGGATTGGTTGGTAATGAAAAGTTTTATCTCCTGCTCACAGGTGCTGCATACTAACTCACTGAAGCATGGAGTACAGCTGCTGGGAATACGACCTGAGCAGCTCTCATTAGCTGATTTAGAAGGAAATCAGGTACAAACTAAACTGAATCTGCATAGACCGTGATGCCCTCTGTATATACTTTACAAGCATTTGTAGAGTTTCAAAGACTCTGCACAATCTGAAATTACTACAACAACAATTTAAATACACCCCCATTCAAAAGTTTGGGGTCAGCAAGGTAATTTATTATTTAATTGATAATTTTACAAAAGATTTCCGTTGCAAATAAATGCTGTGCTTTTGAACTTTCTATTTATCAAAGAATCCTGAAAAAAATATATCACAGTTTCCACAAAAATATTAAGCAGCGCAGCTGTTTTCAATAATCAATCAATAAGAAATGAAAAATAGAAAACATTCAAACTTTTAAACGGTTGTGTATATCTAGTGTACTTGTACATATATAGTGACCTTATATTTTTTACCCTTCAGATTTCAGTATTGATGGGAGAGCCGTACTTTAGCACCAGTCTTCTGCCGTGGCACTCTCTGTTTTTCTGGTATTGCCGCACTGCTGTGGCGCAGCTGCTCCATCCCAGTGCCACCATCCTGCCCCGTGCTGCCACGCTTTACATAGTCGCTGTTGAATTTCGAGTACATTATTTCTTTTGGATAATTGTTGTTGGATATATATTCTGTATTATATATTTACAGACTGACTGACTTCTGTATAATACATTTGTGAATCTTGAATCAGGATCTGTGGCGAATCCGAGCTCCTTGCGGTACTTGTGAGGGCTTTGACGTCAGCCCAATGGATGAGATGATTCAGGTAAGAACGGGTAACAGGTTTTTGTCTGAAATCCTGTTATGAATAAGCAATTTGCGTGAAATTTGAATGCAGTTGATTAATATGCTTTTGTGATGAACTCCACCCACAGCGATCTTTGGATTACCGTGAATCCTTGGAGGCAGAGCCGCATCCACTGTGGGAATACCCATGTCATGCTCTGACAAAACCACGTCCAGTTCTGACATTTGACTTTACGCAATGCGTTCCTGAACAGCCAGTTAACAGTGATGGAACTGTGCCAATCACAGGGTAATATGAACATATTATAATAGCATACTATAATTATTATATTGCATTAAACATAATACAATATTATACTAAATTATAAAATATTTATAATGGTGTTTATAATGGAATTATTATATTATTACAAATATGTATGTATTCATTTATAAGTCGTAAAAATTCAATTTCTGTTTTAGCATGAATTTTAAAATGCTAAAATAGAAATTAATAATTATTATAAACTATATATTATAAACTTATATATTATTATTAAAATAATGTTCAAAAGTTGGGGGTCAGGAAGATTTTTTAAAGAAGTCGCTTAGGCTCACCAGAGCTGCATTTATCTGATCAAAAATACAGTAAAAAGTAATATTCTGAATATTGTGTATTATTACGATATAAATGTTATATATATATATATATATTTTATATTGCATTTTTTCTGTGGTGTCAAAACTGAATTCTTCAGTGTCAGTCACATGCTTTTTCAGAAATCATTCTAATATGCTAATATACTGCTCAAGAAAAATGATCATGTCTTTATTATGTCTTATTATCAATATTGAAAACAGTGTAGAAAGTAAAAAAAAAAGCATTTATTTGAAATACAATTTTTTGTGACAGTATTGTTTTTACTTTCACTTTTGTTCAATTTAATGTGTCCTTGCTGAATAAAAGTATTAATTACTTGAAAACAAAAAAACGAAATCTACACTTCTAATAGATATTGTATAGATGATGCTAGGTTGCTCTTGAATGATACTCTGATGATGTTTCAGGAGAGGACGCTGTCATGGTGTCGCTCTCTGGATGGAGTATCAGCTGACTGAGGACATCACTGTAAGCATGGGCCTAACCAAACCAGTCAGCGAAGAGGTATTTGCTAAAAAATGATCTTGTTTACTGTACAAACAGTATCTGCATTCGGATGAAATGTCAGTCTTCATAAATCTTCCTCAATGAAGCTGAAATTGAAATTCAGATAAGATTGTAATAATCGTGTCACTCTCTTGACCTCTTCACCTTAATTGCCTTTTCTCATTTCACAGGGAGCTTGTGAATGGAACCCACACCGGAAACAAGGAGTGTTTTTCTTTAGATCCGCCAGGGAAACTTCTGGGGATGGAAGGGAAGATCTTTCCTATAATTTAACCTTTGAACCTCATACTGGTGATATTAAAATGGACTTCTCTATCACTGAACCTTGACAAGACTCAAATAAACTAGGCCATCAGTTGTTTACATTTTTTCCCCAAGACAATGCTTATCCAAAGAGTTTTAGTGACTGTGAACTTCTTACATGAGCTTGTAACTGTTTTCCTCCTCCCTATAAGAAGCTTAAGTAACTTATCTAATCAATCAGATGTGTTATAATGCATCTAAATTCATCCGATCAGATTAATTCTGATTTCATATACTATATGATAGATCAAACTGTATGTTGCTACACAAGTCTCATGATGCTGATATAAAATGTTGTCTTGCAGTATAAAAAATGAGGCAAAAGTCCATGTATTATTTTAACCAATTTTATTAAGCATTTGATTTTGGCTTAAAATAATGTTATTCTATACAGAAGGCAAAATACATGAGCAACTGCTTTTCAAATAAAACAAATTACACTCAAAGTGGAGATTCCGTTCTTATACATAAGGATGAGATAATATAATGCAGCTATTTATTTATATTTTGAACATTTCAGTGATATCTCTGGACGCTATCTGACAAAGGCAAAAAATCTGATTGAAAAGATACATTTAAAACCAAACAGTGCGTAACCTTTTCAGTTTTTGTCATGTATTTATTGTACGGGTAACTTTAGTGCATTCAATTTTCAAATGACACTGTGAACTGCATCCCTGTTGATTACACAGATGGAAATGTAATCTGGGCCTCAATGTTGCAGAATGATAACGGAACGTATTAATGTGTCAAAAGTGAATGTCTATGCATCAGCTATATCAGCGTTGGCCAACAGAACCTTCTCCCCAGGTTTGAAGGCAGGCATGCCTAAATATGGACAGCTGGCACATCGGAAGGCATCACCCAGATAACACTAAAGAGGAAAAATATGTCAGCTGTCAATTTATACAAAACCTTAAAGTCATAATTTAAACAAATACAGTAATAATTTGATCATAGAAATACATACACTTCCACAGGCTGATTTGGGCTGGCTGGCTTTCTGAGTGGCATTACTCTCATTTTCCAATTCCTCAGCAACACCACAAGTGCTACGACCAAGAACATTGGCGTTAGTTAGGGATACATTGTTTACACCTTTATATGTTCTTTAATTTAAGGTAATCACCAATTTTTGCAGGCCTTTTTCTTTTTGGAGTCTTCTCCACAGGAAGCCTCGAGGGAGGAAGGGTCAGGCTTTTTCAGATCATCAGCATCCAAAAGTGCATCTGAATCTACCAAATCCTAGAGAGCGGAGTAGAACAATGTGGTGGGTGATACACAAAAGACACAAGATTGGCAGATGCCAAAGCCAATCTTTACATCCCACATCATCATCGTCCATATCATTGGCTGATAGAGTCCACTTTTGTGCGGTGCTTGGATCAAGAGCTAGTTTCTCTGCAGAAAACAAGTGTTGTGGACTTATTGATTTGTCCATTTTTATTTGATGTGTCACAAAATAAAATAAACAAATAAATAAAGGTAATTGTGACCTTTTATCTCACAATTAGTGAAACTGGAAGTTACAAACTCGTAACTGAGTTTACATCTCACATTTGACTTTTTTCTCATAATTGTGAGTTTACATCTTGCACGGAATCCCACCACGGAATAAAAAAATTTACTTGTTTTTTTTACTTAATTCTTTAGATTAAAGTGATATGATGCAATATACAGTAAACTCAGAATTGTGGGGGAAAAGGTCAGAACTGTGAGATGAAAACTTATGAACTTACGTTACATTTAATGTGTCAGTGCTTAAATACCACAGACCTGTTGTAGTGGTTTTCTTGCCAAAGGAAAGTTTCAGTTGCGTCGAGGATCCGACCTCAAAGTTAGGTTTGGATGCTGACAATCGCACCCTTAAAAGTGTGTTTCCCTGGAACCCTGTGCATTCTCTCAGTGCTGCAGCTGCTTCTGGGCTCAGTGACTCCGTCTTTACCTGTGAAAAATTTGTTTGCATCAGTCAGATCATGCGAAGCATTTTTTTTCAGTCTTTTTGAAATTATAAATATTACAATTATTATATTTTTATTATAATAATGAACATTATTATTAATAATAAATAGACATCAGTGAATTAATAATGATGATTTTCAAAACTTGATTCAACAGTTTGTCAATGTGAATTTTTAAATGATCATTATTACAGTTACATGTTATATGTTATATTTTATTAAAATAAACTATTATCAACTACAACAACAATAATTATTCTATTTTATTATAAATACTATATTAATAATAAAACAAATATTAATTTCAAATGGCTAAAAAAACGATATTTTAACGATATCACCCAGCCCTACACTGAATCAACTTAAAAAAAATCACTGAATGCTGACCTCAGTAACAGATACTAATCCAGACAGTTTAAGAGCTGACATCAGTTTCCCAGCGGTTCTCACACTATTATCCTCAGAACCTAAGAAAAATGTTATAATGGGAACCATTAGCACGGATTCATTTCACTTGAGAATGAGAATGTTGCAGAGACTGCGCCGTTTTGATTCAGATACCTGTCACCGGCTCTTCTAGCACAAGTTTGCCACCAGGTTTCATCACTCTGGCAATCTCAGCCAGCATTTCTGAACTGTGGATTGGTGAGCTGTCGGTCAGCAGGCCTGAGAGAACCCAGTCATAACTAGAAGCTGCATGAAAAGCTAACACAGACATATATTTTGGGGTGAATGACTCCTTCAATTCTTTAACTCAGACCAAGACTTGAAAGTATTAAACTAATATACCTCTGTACTTACACAATTGCAGTCTCTCCATGTTCTCCAAAGACACCAGACTCTGGTTATCAACAACAGTGCCAATGCTTTCAGCAAACTCCTTCAGTGCAGTGGGAGATGATGGCTGAAAAAAATGATATTTGAACGATATCACCCAGCCCTACACTGAATCAACTTAAAAAAATCACTGAATACTGACCTCAGTAACAGATACTAATCCAGACAGTTTAAGAGCTGACATCAGTTTCCCAGCGGTTCTCACACTATTATCCTCAGAACCTAAGAAAAATGTTATAATGGGAACCATTAGCACGGATTCATTTCACTTGAGAATGAGAATGTTGCAGAGACTGCGCCGTTTTGATTCAGATACCTGTCACCGGCTCTTCTAGCACAAGTTTGCCACCAGGTTTCATCACTCTGGCAATCTCAGCCAGCATTTCTGAACTGTGGATTGGTGAGCTGTCGGTCAGCAGGCCTGAGAGAACCCAGTCATAACTAGAAGCTGCATGAAAAGCTAACACAGACATATATTTTGGGGTGAATGACTCCTTCAATTCTTTAACTCAGACCAAGACTTGAAAGTATTAAACTAATATACCTCTGTACTTACACAATTGCAGTCTCTCCATGTTCTCCAAAGACACCAGACTCTGGTTATCAACAACAGTGCCAATGCTTTCAGCAAACTCCTTCAGTGCAGTGGGAGATGATGGCTGAGTCCATATCAGCAGCACCCTGTTCCCCTCCTTCAGTCCAAGGTCTGCCATCACCTGCTAATATGTGCTAATATAAGGCTCAAATGCGTGTTTTGAGTCTTATCTACACTAAACATTACAAATGACCATTTACAGTAAGATATGCTGCATAATGACGGTGCAGTTACAAAACAACGTAAACACTCCATTGCGTATCAGAGATAGACATCAATGCCAATGTAACGAAAGAGCTCTAACATGCCATTCAGTTTAACCAAAAAATCAGAAAAACCCTCAATTAAACAGAATGTTCACCAAAACATTTTTTTTTCTAAAAAAATAAATAGCTGTCCAACCTGTTTTTCGTGTCACTGAATATTTTCCCAACACCGTTCACAATGGACGTCGCAGCTATAATCTTCTTCTTCTTTTAAATTTAATGGCGGTTGGCAAACCAACTTAAATGGTGCATTCCCGCCACCTACTGGATAGGAGTGTGGAGCGCATAATGATTGGAAGTTTGAGAACTATAGCCAAAAACAAAAAACAAAACAAAAATACAACGCCAATTATTCCCGCTTTATTTACTACAACTGTATCCTAAATTCTATTGATCAGTCTTGTTTCTTTTAAGAAAATAATTAATTCATGAAATATTCTTGATTGCTTTGGGCCATTTCCTAACAGAACCTGAAGTGACAAATTATTTATTCCGAATGATCCTAAAGCTTGAATTAGTTGAAATCTTGCTCCTTCATATGCAACACACTCTATAAGTACATGTTCTACTGATTCTGCATGACCACATTTGTCACACTTTCCAGTTTCATGCTTCCCCATTCTATACAGACACTGATTTAACAGACAATGTCCAATACGCATTCTTGACATTAAAACGTCTTCTTTCCTGTTGCCAAACTTTCTTCTTTCTTGACCTACTTTCTCTTGAACATGATGAAAGTGTCTACCTTTTGTTCCACTATCCCACTCCTTCTGCCATTTCTTTCTTATTTCATTTGCAATTAACCCTTTTACTTCTGCTTTACTCATTGACACTTTAATGTCAATTTGTGCATGTTTCAGAGCCTGTTTAGCCAGATGGTCTGCCTCCTCATTTCCTTCCACACCCATATGTGATGGTACCCTGTTATAAATTTTTTGAATTCTTGTCCATTGGCGTCGCAGCTATAATGTCACAGGCTAATGCATTTAGGCGTCGTCTTCTTCTTCTAATAACGTTTTATGGCGGATGGCAAACCAACTTCTGGTGCATTTACCGCCACCAACTGGACTGGAGTGTGGAGCACTAATAAATACATATTTATATTTATCTATATTTTATATTAAATTTTTTTTATTTTTTTTTTAAAAACCAAAACACACACATTCCTAAATTCTCCTGATTAATCCTATTCCTTTCATGTATTTAACAATAGCACCATATATTTTACCTTGTTCTGCTTGCTCTTTCAAGAGGTTTGACAAATTAAATGATTCAACACCCATGTTTCTTACTTCCTTAATGAGTTTTAACCTTTCTTTTTCATATTTTTTACATTTTATTAAAACGTGCTCTATTGTTTCTGCCTGATTACAAAAAATACATTGACCTGTTTCATGTTTTCCTATATTAAACAGAGAGTAATTTAATCTAGTATGCCCTATTCGGATGCGAGAAATAATTGTATCTTCTTTCCTATTCCTAAAAATACTTCTTCCATTTTCTACTTGCTGCTGAATATTATACATTTGTCTGCCCTTGCTTTCACAGTTCCATACTTCTTGCCATTTTTTGTTTATGAATTCTTTAATTTTCCCTTTAACCTCATTTTTGCTAAGGGTCACTTGAATATCTATTTCTGAGTGTATAAGAGCTTGCTTAGCAAGCTTATCAACCACTTCATTAGCCTCCACTCCCACATGAGCGGGAACCCACAAAAATGTTATTAAGCTTATATTACTTATTCTTAATAAACTTGCAAGAATCTCATAAATAATGTCTTGCCTTGATGTTTTTACTCCACTTGCAAGGCTCAATATTGCTGCATAAGAGTCAGAACATATTACTACTAACCTTGGTTTTACATCCTCTACCCACTGGAGTGCTACCACCATGGCAATTAATTCTGCTGTATACACGGATACATGATCAGTTATTCTTTTCTTAATACTAGTTTGAAACTGTGGAATAAATACTGCAGCAGCTGTTCTGCCAGAGATAGGGTCTTTAGAACCATCAGTATATATATGTAACCACGATGGATAAGTCTGATCTAAATACTGCTGTGCAATAATGTTCTTAGGGGTTTCTTTCTCATTCTTAATTTTTATTTGTATTTGAAAATCGACTATTGGCATAGGAAAAATCCACGGTGGTATACTTTACAGTATCACAGTAGGGCTAACATCACAGTCTGCAATACCAACAACTTGTGCTTCCCTTTTAGCAATCCATCCAAAGCTTTTAATATTTTTGTTTCCATGCTCCCAGCATTCTTCAATCACACCCTTTACTGGATGACTCTCTTTATGTCCTTTTAGATTAACCCAATAATTAATTCTTAATTTATACCTACGAAGGAATAAAGGAGCTTCCCCAAATTCTACCTGCGTGGCTGCAATGGGAGATGTTTTGAACGCACCACAACATATTCTAAGAGCTTGATTCTGTATAGTTTCAATCTTTTTGAGTGTGGTTTTAGATGCAAATCCGTAAATAATACTTCCATAATCTAAACTTGGTCTGATTAATGTACAATAAATTATTTTCAATGACAATCTACAAGCTCCCCATTCTACCCCAGATAGACATCGTAAGATATTTACTCCTGTTTTACATTTCTTAATCAGTTTTTTAATGTGCATTGCAAATGTCAATCTAGATTCCATCCAAACACCGAGATATTTAACTACTGAGACTTGCTCAAGCTCCTGTTTGTACAACTTCAACTTAACCGTTGGAACATTTTTCCCTTTTGTGAAACATATAACTTGTGTTTTAGCCACAGACTCCCATGCAACTCCAGTCCAGGTGCTGCTGACGAGCGCGTTTAGGCGTCGCGCTGAAAGATGACATTATTTGCTGTTTCTAGAATAAAAGCATAGAATGGCCATCAGCTTTCTCTGATTGGTTAGTACAATAGGCATTAAAAACCGGTGTTCATATTTAAAGTCTTTAATGTCTATTATCAATTTACAAAAAAAAATCTAATTTAATAGTGTCATTATTCAGCTACCCAGATCGCCGTTACAGTAGCGCGTACAGTAGTCACGTGGTACATGATACTTTTCTCCGCGCTGATTACAATTTGCCAATTGCCTCTGTTTGTGGTGACCTAACAAGGCGTTTTATGTAATACATTCTCAAAGATTGCTGAGGCGGATATATAATTTATATAAGATTATAATGCATTTAAATGAGTACATTTAAATTATTGTGCATAGTATACAAATGACGACAGTGCGATATAAACACAGTGAGATTTTCCTAGAGTAACAATGATTTTCATTGGCTGACAACATTTGCTACGCTGTGTATTGCATCGTTACCGCCTGTGGTTACTTGGGATATGGCGGCGCTGATTAGAGGACTGAGAGCTGGAAGGGTCTTGCGGGGTCTCGGCAGCGGTAAGCGCGGGAACGTGAGAGGGCGTCTGGCGTTAGCATTTCAGTCCACAGTATTTGTGTTTAAAAAGTTGACAAACAGTAGTCACACGTGACACCTGCCGAAGGCTTTCGTATCTTGTAAATAGTTCTGCCTGCTTCCAAGTATGGCAAATGTAAATCAGCTGGGCGACTAGAGAATGAAGGCATGAAGGGCAGGATTGCGCTTGCAAACAGAAAGTGCACATTATATGAAGGTAAAATGACGTCAAAAAGATTTGCATACGCAGGGTAATATTTGTGGAATGTACATAAGACTGTAAGCGTAAATTAAATTTGCATGCGCAAGAGAAGCTTTGTAAAGGTGTAAATCGCGTTTCAAGCGCAAGAAAAAAATATTTGCAGCATTTTACTGTTATTCGTAAGTGTAATTCATGTATTGTGAAACTGCAGCTTCATGCTAAAGCAAAATAAATATGATCTGCATGCTTCTGACTTCCATTTTTCCGCGCTTACACTTTTGGCACGTTTTTTTGGCCAAAAGACGGTCAAAAGATGCAAATCTTTTTGACGTCATTTTACCTTCATACATTACACTCCATAACATTTGAAGATTGTGTGGTTCAGCCTGATGGCATATTGAAGTAATGGTTAACTTGAAACGTGCTGGTTGAATACAGTTGCTCTGCAGAAAGCTTAGCTTTGTGTTTAAAGCGGAGATTCTGTCCTTTGCAAAGTAGGGAATAAATGCATGCTAAATTTCCAATTAACTCTTTGTTTGTGATTGTTTCACTATCACTCCATTGAGTCTGACCCATTATATGAGAAGTAAAAAAGCAAAGGCTCATTGTGCAAAACTTTTTATTGTTGCATTGCAATGCTTTTATTACTACAGAACATGTTTTATGATCTAATTATGGAGCGTTTTGTTGCATGGTGATTATGTTGAATGCACCATTACAGTTGCAGTTCAAGGCACACTCAGTCCCCAGTGCAGCAATGTGAGACGTGGATTCCATCGTGCCGCCCTGTTACGACTGGCCAATGACTCTAAAAGTGACACATCTGTGCCACCTCCATCCTACCACGAGGTTGACACAGCTGGAGAAAGCTCATCCTCTTCAGCACATGGAGAATCTTCAGAAGATGCCCAGCCAAACACCAGGTTCGAGCCCCAATTCTCCAGATCTGATTAAATAAATACAAGAGTTAAATGGATAGTTCACCAAAAACTGAAAATTACCCCATGATTTACTCACCCTCAAGCCATCCTAAGTGTATATGACTTTCTTCTTTCAGACGAATTCAATCGGAGTTATAATAAAAAAAATAAAATAAAAGCTCAGGTGAGAATATGCTAGTCTCTCGAGAACCAAGTTTTGTTTACAGCAAAGGAAAACCAGTCTCCTCTTGGCTTATATCGAAATCTTCCTACTAGGGCTGTGCAAATTATCGAATGCGATTTTCATGCGCATCTCCTCAGTAAAGCCGGTTCTGTGATTAGTAGTAAATCTCCAGCACGTGCGTTCAGATGGAGCGGCATTTACTACACAGAGCCGTAGATCACTGACAAGCTACGCAAAATCGCGTTCATAATCGGCAATGAATCGCCTGCGATTTTGAATGCTATATTGCGTAGCTTGTCAGCCCTACTTCCAACATTTTCCTTTACATTTTGTACTTTTAATTTGTGACCGGTGTTTTGCTCTCTCCTCTGTGCTTCCGCATTCGTCACTTCTCACCAAAGCTTATGCTACTCTCGTGAACGCGCGTACTACAGATAGTGGAAGCTAGAGATTACGGTTTATAAAATTTTAAATATGGATATTTTTCTTACACAAACACATCGCTTAATTTCAGATGGCCTTTATTAACCCCCCACAGCCTTGTGGAGTACTTTTTATGATGGATAGATGCACTTTTTTGGGCTTCAAAATCTCGACCACCTTCACTGCCATTATAAAGCTTGGAATAGCCAGGACATTTTTTTATATAACTCCGATTATATTCGTCTGAAAGAATAAATTCATATACACATAGGATGGCCTGAGGGTGAGCAAGTCATGGGGTGATTTTCATTTTTGGGTGAACTATCCCTTTAAATTCATCAACCTTGCAGTCATTTAATCTAACCTTGTCCATTTCGTATGTCAAGTTTTCAAGATCAGAGTGGTGAACACGGTGAAGACTATGAGACAGAAGAACAGCTCCAAGCTCGCATCCTGACCGCAGCTCTAGAGTTCGTTCCACAGCACGGCTGGACTGTGGAGGCCATCGCAGCTGGAGCAGAGGTTTGTTTCTTAAAACAGTTATATAAGTATTAAATGTAAATATCGTATTAGACAGTATAACTGTAATAATATGCTCTGTGATTCAGACTCTTGGCCTGTCATCAGCTTCCACTGGGATGTTCAACAATGGAGCTGGAGACTTGGCCCTGCATTTCGTCGCGCAGTGTAATGCTCAACTTGCTGAGACACTCGCAGAGCAAAA